ACCAGTCACTAGGAGGTGTCCTCCTAGGGAGCTCTGGAAGATGCCTAGTTTGACCCCCGACAAGATCTTCTCAAAACACCCCTGAATCTCCCCAGGGCACTTTCTGGGTAAGGCCCCAACAGCAGAAAAGGAACTTTGGCAGGTCAGCTCCCAGAATGGATTTCTCAGAAGGTTGGCACTGCCAGATGTTACTACCCATGGTACCCTTACAGTGAAATGGCTGAACTTTCTGGGTCAAAAAGCAAGTCCTACTGCTGCTAAAGAATTAATAGTAAAAAGTATTTACATTGAAATAGCTCCTTAGAGCTCATAAAGGGTTTTCGTACAACAATCCTGTTAAATAGGTAGTATACTTTGGGGAGGGATAGATGAGCAGTCAGGATCTGTGATTTCATCTGTGGAGGAAATCTCCCTCCACTAACACATCTACAATGTAGATCCCTCCACTAACACAGATCTACAACTCTTTTGTCTTAAGAGAGTTGCCTGTGAAGGCTACAAGGATGAATGACTCGTCATGGTTGGGCAGCCATTTGAACTGTCTTCCTGATCACAAGGTTGATCTTCTCCCCACTATTCCATTTCTAAGCCCAATTTAGGGAAGAGAAAAAAAGAGATACAGAGATGAAGAGAGGAGGAGATGAAGAGAGAGACAGAGACTTGCCTCGGGACGTACGGCTTGAATCCAGATTTAGCGCTCTTTCTGTGACATCATGCCATACCTGCCCTTCAGTATCTTGAAAAGATTCGTTATCTCATCCATTTGGATCCTTTCTCTATCAATGCAGACCACAGGCCTCTCTGCCTCAAGAAGATGGTTTTATGAGTTGTCATTGCTAAGGGGTTGAGTTTTCAGTGATGAGCCTCTCTAACGTTAGCTAGGCTGGCCCTCAGACCACAACCCATCTTAAGGCAAGTACTCAGAGAATCACAGATTTTTAAAGCTAAAAGGGACCTTGGAGGCCACTGAACGACAAGGAAACTGAGGCTGAGGGGAGTTAAATGACAAATTTAGAATCACACACCTAGTAAGTGTCTGAGGTGGGATTTGAACCCAGGATTGCCAGTCCAGTGCCCTATATACTGTACCATGGTAGGACCTGCCAGCACCTATGCCCAAACAGTATAATTGTGAGAGGCTGGGGAAAGGCAACAGAGGAGGATTTTGGTGGAAGCAAGTAAGAATGATCTATATCACAAAATACTTTAAGGTTCCCAAAGCCTCTCCATACATCATCTCATTGGATCCTATAAGACAAGGAGAGCATTTATTACTATCCTTATCATCTTCAGATGAAGCACAGAAAAATTAAATGCCAAACTTGGCCAAACGCACACAACTAGGTCGAATGCAGGGGCCAGGATTCAAACTCAAATCTTCTGGCTCCTAGTCCCATGGTATTTCTGATGGATTGGCTCACCTCAGCCACTAAGATGCTTGGCCACTTTGCTTTTTAAATCTAGATGCTAACAGTATCTAGCATAGGACTTCACACCCACCAAGAATTCTGATACTGACAAGCATGTAGGACCTCCCCTATTCCTGCCAATATTGTTAGCTCCTCCTGTTAGGATGGATGATATAAAAAGGGAGAGGGGTGAGGGTAGAGAAAGATTGAAGAAGACACACTCACTGATTTTTAAAGTTCCCCCAGAGTACTTCACCCTTTTTACTTAGATCCCAAAAAACCCAAACAGTTAAGAGATAATTAGATCAGCTCTGGTTTCAAAGGCAGAGAGATGTACTCTTTGGAAACTGCTACCAAAGGGAAAAAGAAGTTCCCCTACAGGGAGGGCTCCCTACACAACTTCTGTAAAGACTGCACAGGTCTTTGTACCGGTGAGCTTCTTACATCTACCCCTGTGACTCTGGTCCCACCACAAAGCAGTGTTTTGTTTGGTAAATGCTTACAACTGGTTTTCTTTCATTTAAAAAAAATATTATGCATGATACACTTTTAAGTGTAAATGGAATTACTAACATTTTCTCCACCACTTTCTTAAGACTAGACCATTCACAAAACAATAAATCAAGCCATGATTAGTAGTGTTTGACCACTGTAGAGGTGAACATGCTTAACGCTGAAAACTGAACAATTAGTTCTCTCCTCTTCAGGAGCTGGCTCCAACACAGCCATGCACCACAGCTACCAAACCATAGCATCGACAGGTTGGTGGTAGATGAACAGTATCTCAAGAGTTCAGCAAGCTTAGGATGGCACAGGGCCTCCACACCCCCTTTCCATGTCCACCTTTTCAGGATCCCCAACAACAACCACAGATTAAGCCCCGCCAATGAAAAGAAGCACAAAATGTGAGAGTTGGAAGAGACCAGAAAAGATAATTTAATCCAACCGCCTCATTAGGCAGATAGGGAAACTGAGGCCCAAATAAGTGCTTGCCCAGAGTTACACAGCTGGTTAAAAGTCAGAGTTAGGATTCCAAGTCAGGTCCCCTGTCTCCAAATTCAATGATCTATCCATTACACCTTGCAAGAGTGTGCCAGGGGCCACAGGGTTTATATGTCAACAACACTGGATTCCAGTTCAGGAAATAGAAGGCTGAAGCAACTTACACATGTCCCTCTTCCTCTCACGATCTGAGTTTCTGCAACCATAAATTGGGAAGCACTACATCTATCCCCTATTTCACAAGGTCATGGTAATGGTGACAGTCAAATGACTTAACAGGGGGTGAAAAAGCTTTGGAAAGTTAAAAGATGCCAGATAGAGACAGAGAACCATTTATGGAGACAGGATGGTGTCGTCTATACAACCTTTGTCTGGAAGGCAAGAAGAGAGATTTCCGGCATGTTCCAGCTTACTTGGTTTCCCCAGCTAAAAATGAAGTCAATAGAGCTCTCTCGTTCCACTCTTATCAGGAAGGACTAGCAGTGAGTATACCAGCTGCCCTCTCTCCCTAGAACAAATCTTTCCTCCATTCCACACAAGTGGCCCCAGAGCCTCAGCATCTGGGCACTCACACTCCACACAGAATCAGCCACCTCATGCAAGGTTCTCATTGTTCAAGTTAATAAGCAATTATTAAGCACCTACTCTAAGCAGAACTCTGTGCTGGGCCCTGGGGAAGATATAAAGTTTATAGAAGTCTTTGCCCTCAGAGAGTTCACAGTCAGGAAGATGACAGACAGAGATAATTGTTATACATGACATGAAGTGTGGACTAGAAAGATACAGAACAAGGCTAGGCAGATGCCTTGAGAGGTCTGCTCACCACTGACCTGCTCATCCCTGACCTGTAACTTCCAGATCACTGCTACCACAGGCCTTAACAGAGATGGTTCTGCATTGTCTTACAGTTCAGTCCTCAGGGGCCCCCAGAGAGCTCAACCTCGAGCCTCGCAGATGGAGCCTATAGTCCTAAAAGAACACATGTCCCCAAAGGGGATGGAATCAATTCTGCTACACCCATATAAAGAAAGTATCTATATATAAGTAGTCCCTATACAGTACGCTGTGGGCAGACAGGATGTGGAGGAGGTAGAGAAGATGTGGTCCCCGCCCTCTGGGAGCTTACAATGCAGTAGCAGGAGACATGAGTAACCCAGGCAACGGGGAGATTGAAGTATTTAAAAAAAGGAACCAGCCTGATGTCTTGTAAAGAACACTCAACCAGGAGTCAGGGGTCTGGGTTCTAGCCACAATTCTATCCCTATCTTGCAAGGTGACCTTGCAGAGGTCATTGCCTTTCTCTGGGCCCACTTCCTTCCATGTAAAATGAGAAAGCTAGAGTGAATGACCTCTAACGTCCCATCTAGTACGGACGCTCTGTGAACCTATGACATAGTGCAGGCTTGTTGATTACACAAACGAGCCAAATCGGGATCCCTCAAACTTGATCTAGGTTCAGGAATGGGCAATAATACTGTAGAAAAGGGATAATCCCTAGGACAATAACACCAGACACTGGTAGAAGCCCTCTAAAGATACTTAGGGAAAACAGTGTGGTGTCATTATCATCATCACAATAACAGCTAGCATTTATATAGTGTTTGCAAAGCACTTACAAATATCATCTCATTTTATCCTCATGACAACCCTGGGAGGAAAGTGCTATTATTTTTCCTATTTTACAGAGATGGCAACTGAGGCAGATGGAGGTTAAGTGAGTTGCATAGGGTCACATGGCTAGCAAATGTCTAAAGCAAGATTTGAATTCGTGTCTTTCTGACTCCAAGTTGAGTGCTTTATTCCCTGTGCCAGCTATTCTGGTAGAAAGGACATTGGTTTGGGAGTCTAGAGATACAAGCTGCGATCCCAGGCTCTGCCACTATTACCTTGGACAAATCATTTGAATCTCACTTTTCTCATCCATAAAATGGGGAATGATAGTAATTCTACTACATACCTCACGGTGATTATGGCCATCAAATCAGGCAATGGATTGTAAAGAACTAAGGTTGATAAACCACATAAATGGCTTTTTACTTTTCTCAGACATACTAGGATCCCCTCTTTCAACCATCTCCCTCCATACTCTATCAAGAAAGAACCTGGCTGACAGGATATTATGGAAAGAAAAAAAAATCAGAGAATGTCAGAGGTGGAAAGAGCCTCTAGAGGCATGGAGAACATGCATATCTCAACAGAAGTCCCAGCTATGATATTCTTGGCAAATGCCTATCCAGCCTGCTTGAAGACACTCAGTGATAGGAACCATATTATGGCCGCCCATTCCGCTTTTGGACATCATTAGTTATTAGAAAGTTTCTCCTTATATAGAATTGAGATCTGCCTCTTCACCAATGTCCCTAGTTCGTCCTTCTGGGGCCAACAGGAACAATCTAAGCTCTTCTACAAGACAGCCCTCCAGCACTTGGGAGCAGGCAATCATATCTTTCTCAAATCCTCTCATCTTCAGGTTAAACAGCCCTAGTTTCTTAAACTAATTCTCGTACAGCATACAAAGCATGCTACAAAAGTAGCTATATCATCTGCTGGCAGACAGTGTAGACGTTGGGGGAATGTGGACACACTCACCTTCAGCGCACACTTCTGGCCTGTCACCCTGTGGAAGCATTCCAAGACCTTTCCATTCACACCCAGGCCCAGCACTTGTTTTGACAGCTTATAATCATCAGTGACTGCATATTTCTTGGGCTCAACCTTGCTACAGGCCAGACTCCGAGGACCACTCTTGGCATTCTCTTGGATTCCTATTCCCATTGCTCCTCCAGGGCCAGGGCCTGAGGCTTCTTCTTCAGGTATCTGCTCCTCCCCTTCACCACTAGGGTCCATGGCAGGACCAGGGACCGGGGGGAAATAATGACCAAACACAGGGCTTCTCAGGGAAGACTCCTCATTCAGCAAGAGCCCCAGGCAAGGGGATGCAGTGGCGTGTGGCAGGGCTCATCACCTGAGAAGAAGAGGGAGAAGGTGTCAGGGCAGTGCTAGGAACATATCCAAGTGCCTGAGAAGTGAGAAAAAGACCACAAAGTGCAGAAAAGAAATACAACTGAAGGAATAGGGGTGGGGTGTGTCAAAGAGTCAGGAATAAAAGGAGCTACGGACAAGGTTGAATAATGGGGGGGAGGGCACAGAAAGGGGCAAAGTGTGTATTAAGTACAGGTGAGGCTGAAGACGGGTGTACTAGGGCCAAATGGAAGGGAAGAGAAGGGGGCTGAGAGCTGGTGAAGGGGGGCAGAGGGGGAGGCGGAGATAAAACTGAGAACACAGGTGGAGTGGGGGACAGATGTGCCTGAGTCTTGGGGGGAGAGGGCGTGAGGGGAGAGAGGAGTATCCCCGTGCAGGAGGGAAAGAGAGGGCCGGAGCTGAGATCAAGATCTGTTGGGGCCAGGTGAAGGAGGAGAAAGTTGAGGCTGAGCCACGATGAGGGGGGGGGGGGCGCAGAGCAGTAAGAGGCTGAGGGTACGCGCTCGGAGGGGGTGCAGAGGGCAAGGCAGAGGCTGGGCGCAGGTGCGCGGCGCTGTACCAGGTGTCTCCCGACCAGGTGAGGTGCTTAGGCACGGGGCAGGAAACTCAGAAGTGGGAGAAGAGGCCGGGAGGAGGCCAGGAGGGGGCCGGGAGGGGCTGGCTACCTGGAGGCGGCGGCGACGGCGGTGGCGGGCACTCTGGGGTTGTACCGGGAGCTGGACTCGGAGCCCGGGCCACGGCGGCCGACAGGCACTGGCCTGGGGCCCCCACGTGACCCGTCCCACGCGTCATCCCAACTTGGGGCCCCGCGCGGTCAGCCCTTAAAGGGGAAGGCCGGGACCCAGGGTCGGGGACCCGGAGGAGAGTGGCAGAGGCGGGGCCGGCGGGGCTCGGGGCCCCATACTCCGAGGGGAAGAAAGACAAAAAAGGAAGCAAAACCCAAACCCGAGCTCCAGTCCGACCCCCCCCCCCCCACTCCGCGGGCCAAAGCCCCAGGCCTCCCCGAACTCTGACCCGGCCTTCGCGGGGTTTGGCACTCCAGAGCTTAGGGGAGGTCAGAAAAGAGCGGGGAGAGGTAGAACTGGGCGGGAGAGAAGAACTCGCCCCCCACCCAAACAGTGGGCAAGAAATGGGAGCAGTGGGGGTCCGTGGAAAGAAGACAGAGAGCACCTAAAGCCGCGAAGGGAAAGCGTTACCGATGATCAAAGGGTGTAGACCTGGGGGGAAAGCCTTAGGGAATATCAAGGTCTACCTCCCTCGCGTTACTGAGGAGGAAACTGAGGCCTGGAGAGGACTCCTGTTAGGAAAAGGGTCAGGCCGAGAGTAGGGGTTCGGGGAGAACCAGGCTCCCCACCTTGAGGTTAAGACCTTCCTGGTTCACGTGGAAGAGGATTCAAGTTTTGGAAAACAGGGAAGACACAGAAAGAAAGAACCAGTCCCATCTGGCAGTCGGACCCGTAGCAAGAGGGGAAAGGATCCTAGTGTGGGGACAGGGACTGAATAGAGGGGTTCCTTTCCGTCCCATTCCGGGGATGGCACCGGTCCAGTCGCTAACCCAGATGTGCCTCTGCTGCCTCCTCTCGGCCACCTATGGGGCTGAACTAGAAGGCACTTCGGGCATTCTCAAAGACTTCCGTGGTCTTGGGTCTTTCCACTTAACTTCCCTTTTGCCTTACACAAGCTGTAGATATTATGATTTGGAGCTGAAAGGGACCTTGGAGGTTATCTAGTCCGACCACCTTTACGATTAAGGAAACTGGCGTAAAGAGGGGCGCTAAATTACCAAAAGTCCCACGACCACTAAGTAGTAAAGGAGGATTCTCACCTAGGTTATGTTAAGTCAAACCAACATTTATGAAGCCCCGGTCTTTTGCTTGCAAATTCCGAGTTCTTTCCATGGCCTGTAGAACAGCTGGTTAAGGTCCAGTCTCAGAAGAGGAAGGGAATAGTTATTTACTAAGCACCTACAGTGTGTCAGGCCCTGTGCTAAATGCTTTACAATTATTTTCTCATTTGATTCTCACAACAACCCTGTGAGGTAGGTGCTTCAATTCTCCTTGTTTCCCCAGTCAAGGAAGCAGACAGATTAGTGCTTAAGTGACTTGCCTAGGGTCACACAGCCAGTGTCTGAGGTCACATTTGAATTTGTCTCAGGTCTCCACTCTCCTTGCTCTATCCACTGTGTCACCTATCCACCTCTGGGCAGGTTATGAGTTCCTCAAGGGCAGAAAAGTTCTTGGTGTGCCCCTCCCCCTCCCCATAGGTAGGAGGCACTGAAGGATTGTTGATGGAATGAATGGATCCATGACCTCAGAGCCAGGAGCTGTTTCCTTTCTCAGAGCTTTTTCCCAATTGTTTCTGAAGTTTCTTGGTGTTACCGTCAAGGGTAGCTTTTGTTCTCCGGGGGAAGATTGAGTATTTGCCCTGTGGGTTTTGATTCTCATTCAACAAAACAAACATTTTCAGGGGCACTTACTTTATGTTCTGGGAAAGCCCTATACTTGTTTGCTAGATATACAAAATCAATGAGACAGGTTCCTCCGAGAACTTCTAGTCAGAATGGACTGTATGGGGTATTCAGGGAAAACTAGCACCTTTGGTGTGAGGGCAGGGTTGCTCAGCCACCTTTGGTGTCTGCCTGCCACCCAACTCTCACCTGTGGCTCCAAGAAGCTATAGCATGTTGGAGCCACCCCCCCCCCCAGTAAAACCATCTCAACAGATGGGCTAAGCTACATTGAGGGTTACCTCAACAGGCCTCAAACCTGTTGGTGCGTTAGGGGGGTGTCTACCCCAAGCATGTGAAGACTTCCCCAAGTGGAATGAACAATTTGTTCCAACAGCCATGAAGACAACTGGAGCAGGTGCCATGGAGTGCTTAGAGCTTGGTCCAACATCAAAGATGCCGAGGTCATCCAACTCATCATCAATAGTCCTGACTTTTGTCCTGCCACTGGACTTCAGTGACTCTGCAAGAGAGTTCGAGGCTGATGACTTTGTGAATCTCTGTCTCACTTAAATCCAATTCACAAGTAAGTTGAGATATCACCCTGTGATGTCACTAGTCCTCTTCAGAAACAAAAGATGAGCAAAAGTCAATCACAAGGGAGGAATAGAAACCAATAGAATAGGGTCATAGGGGAGGTCCCCCAGAGATCACCTGGGCTGAAATCCCGTTTGTAATGATTGACTATGTGTGTGGGCAAATCACTTACCCTTCCCCCCAGGCCTCAGTTTCCTCATCTGTAAAATGAGGGTTTGGACTAAATGGCCTCTGAGGGTTCTCCTGGCTCTAGGTCAATGATCTCGTCTAACTCCCTTTATTTTTAGATGTGGAAACTAACTCACTGTGTGGGGAGGGGACTCGCCCAAGGATACGCAGGAAGTAAATAAAAAAGCCAAGATTTGAATCCAGGCCCTCTGATCCCAGAGCTATTACTCTTCTTACTGTGCCATATTTGAATATGGCCAATGGCTTTGAGATGGGCAGAGAAACTACTAGGAATGGTCAGAAGAGGATTCCATTACTTCCAGGAGTGGGGTTGATGTTTGTTGATGAGGGGACATTTGAGCTGAGTGATTTTCAGAATATCTAGTGATTAAAAATGGGGCTGTGGTAGTCTCCCCTGAAATGTCTTTGGTACAACATGGGGGAACACTTCTGGTATTGGTGGGTACTCTGGATACTTCCTGATCTCTGTTCATACTGGTATGCAGATGGATTCTCCCCCTCCCCCCAATTAGGCAAACCTGATTATGGCGTACCACAATTTCTGCAAAACTGATAGAGACGTATCTAGGTTTTCACTTACATAACAGTATTATTATGGATTTTTCAGGATTATTCATTTTAGAAAACTGTCCTGTTTAGGTTTCTTTTAGTCAGCAGCACCCCCTAGTGCATTTAAAGTAGTATTTAATTTTTTAAAAAATTGATTTGCAGAAATTCTGTTTACTTACGAGCAGCACATCTGTTTTACAAAATGAAGAGCTGACAGATACAAAAACCAGAATTTATAAGATGGGAAAGATAGGCAATATTTATCTGCTTTACAAAAGGATTTAGGACATTGATTTGTTTGTTGATTCTTTAATTTATGAGAGAATTACCTGGCAGGGTTTCTTTATTATTATTATTTTTATTGATGTATTTTGTTTTTATATGATACTCATTTCTGAATACATCCTTTTCCACTGCCCACACTTAATCAGCCAGCCTTTATAATAAAGATTTTAAAAGAAAGAAAAATAGTTCCACAAAATCAACCAACTTGTCTACCTGGTCTGACAGCATATGCAACATTCTAACCACACCCATATAAATCTACCTCTGCAATCAAGGGAGGAAGGGCCATCTTCTCAACTCTTGTTCCACACCAAATTTGGCTATTTTAGTTATGAAGTTTCATTTTATTCTTCTTTCTGTTTTGGTTGTTTTAGTAGTTTTGTATATTGCAATTCTTATTCAACTTAACTTCACTCTCCACCAGTTCATATGTTTTCTCATTCCTCATGCTTCTCTGAACTATTCATTTATCGTTTCTTAGGGTATAATAATATTGTATTGCAAACATATACTAGAAATTTTTTTTTAGCAACTTGCACCAATTTTGTTTCCAGTTCTTTGCTACCACAAGGAAGGAAGGAAATATGCATTTATAAAAATTAAGCACCTACTAGGTGCCAGGCACATTGCTAAGCATTTTACAAATATTATCTAATTTGATCCTTATAACAACCCTGGGAGGTAGGTGCTATTATGATTCCCATTTTACAGATGAAGAAACAGATAGACAAAGATTGAATGACTTGCCTAGTATCGAATAGCTAGCAAGTATCTGAACTGGATTTGAGCTCCGGTCTTCCTGACTCCAGGCCCAGTGTTCTATCCACTGTGCCACCCAGCTGCCCACACACACAAAAAAGTTGCAATGACTATTTTGGTATACGTAGGACATGCCTTTCTGCCTTTAACCTCCTTGTGCTCTGTGAGTAGCAGTGAGATCTCTGGGCATGGACATCCTAGTAAATACATTACCCTGCTTCCAAGGCTTACAATAAGAAGAAGCATTTATTAATGGGGGACTGGGGGGAGGGCAGAGGGAGAAGGAATGCAAAGACAAAATGAAAAACCCACCTTCAGGAACCTTGCATTTTCCTGGAAGGATACAACCTTTATACAGATAATTAAATGCAAAGTAAGTTGAGGAAGGAAAGCTCATTAACAACTAGCAGGGGAGGTGAGAGGTGGGAGCAGGGTGTAGAAGAAGAAAGATTTCCCACAGGAGTTGTCATGGATGAGCCTTGAAGGAAGCTAAAGATTCTAAGGAGTGGAGGTAATGAGCAAGTTCATTCCTGGGATGGATGAATGCCTACGTAAAGTCAGAGATGTAGGAGATGGAGTGCTGAGTCTGGGGCCCAGCAAATGGGCTTCCTTTGTTAGGACATCCTATAGACTTCTGGAAAGTGAATAATGTTAAATGAATCTTAGAAGGTAGACTGGAGGGGATTCTCATCAATTGGGGAATGGCTGAACAAATTGTGGTATGTGATTATGATGGAATACTGTTGTGCTATAAAAAATGTTGAGCAGGCAGGATGCTCTCAGAAAAACCCGGAAAGACTTACGTGAGCTGGTGCAAGGTCAAATGTACTGTGTACAAAGTAACAGCAATAAGTTTGGAACTATGCCCAAATGGCTATAAATATGTGCATAGCCTTTGACCCAGCAATAGCACTTCTAGGTCTGATTCCCAAAGAAATCATAAAAATGGGAAAAGGACCCACATGTACAAA